CCACTGATAGGAGACGCTGAAGGTATTAAACTGATCAGAACAATACTAAACACACCACAAATAAGGTTTCTCTCCTGTATGGCTCCTCAAATGATGCTTAAGATTAGAAGCGGCTGAAAAGCATTTCTCACACAGGTATTAAACCGATAAAAATAGTACTAAACACACCACTCCTATCTGGTGTCACATTAGCTTGACCGCGCAGTGCCCCAAATTTGCAGTAAGAGGACCGACCAAGCCTCTTCTTCCATCTCCCCGTTACAAAAATCAATGCCGTGTACACGACCACTGATAGGAGACGCGGAAGGTATTAAACTGACCAGAACAATACTAAACACACCACTCCTATCTGGTGGCACATTAGCTTGACCGCGCAGTGCCCCAAATTTGAATTAAGAGGACCGACCAAGCATCTTCTTCCATCTCCCTGTTACAGAAATCACTGCCATATCCATACAAATTGTACAGAATGTCCAGATAGTTTTCCAGGGACAAATGTTGTCGCCTGTTGAACGAGGTGACCTTGCTCGGGTCCCAGGTGTACGGTTCCTAAAATGGCTGCCATATACACGCCCACTGATAGGAGACGCGGAAGGTATTAAACTGATCAGAACAATACTAAACACACCACTAATAAGGTTTCTCTCCTGTATGGCTCCTCAAATGATGCTTAAGATTAGAAGCGGCTGAAAAGCATTTCTCACACTCCTAACAAAAATATTTTTTTTTAACATTCTCTCCACTTTGAACGAAATGACGTTTGGGAAGAGATTAACATAATTAAACACAGGCAGTAAAAATACAGTTTTTAGCCATACCCTGTAACTTTAAAACTACACATCCCATCTTCATAATTACATATTTGGAATCAGCACACTTAAAACATAAAACATAACCAAAAATCAGCCAAATCCATCCAGGGGTTAAAAAGTTAGCTGGAGGTCCCTTTATGACCGACCGCAAGCACATTTTCCTGCCCAAAACAGTTCCATAGATTTGGGCTGTGAGGTCGCTCTATTTCAGGCTGAAAAAACGACTAAGTCCCATCACGAATGGGACTTAGTCTCTGCAGCTGAAATAAGGCTGAAAAAAACGGCTGAAAAAAAGACTAAGTCCCATCACCGAATGGGACTTAGTCTCTGCAGCTGAAATAAGGCTGAAAAAAACGGCTGAAAAAAAGACTAAGTCCCATCGAATGGGACTTAGTCTCTGCAGCTGAAATAAGGCTGAAAAAAACGGCTGAAAAAAAGACTAAGTCCCATCGCTGAATGGGACTTAGTCTCTGCAGCTGAAATAAGGCCGAAAAACGGTTGAAAAGACTAAGTCCCATCAATGGGACTTGGGCCCTGCAGCCGAAATAAGTTGAAAGACCAAGTCCCATTTAATGGGACTTAGCCCTGCAGCTGAAATAAGGCTGAAAAAATCCGTTGAAAGACCAAGTCCCATCTAATGGGACTTAGTCTCTGCAGCTGAAATAATTTCCCATTTACTGAACCAAGTGGGAAATAGCAAGACAGGCACAAAGGGTTTGCACCAGGTCTGGGGACACAGGGGACACCGTCTTAAAGGGGCCGTGTCCCCAACAAGTCTGGGGACACTGCCTTAAAGGGGCAGTGTCCCAATCTTCCTGATGTCCCAAAAAAGGTGTTTAAAGGGCCAGCACCAGTCACATAAAGAGTCCATAAGCACCAATATGCCCACCGACAGTCTTAAAGGGCCATACACACCAAATAAAAGTGCATACATTTTCACAATCTCCCAGGGGCCATAGTCATGCGGAGGAGGCTGGCAAAGAGGCTTCTCCACAACCCAGGGAAACAGGGCAATTTGCCATTTAAAGGGCCCGTTACAAATAGCAGTTTGTAACAAGGTGTCAACCATATCTGCCAAGTGACCCGATGTAGGGGAACAGTCCCCATTCTGCTCTGTGTCAGTGTGTATCAGGGATCCTTAGGACAGGTGTCAATCCACCTGCCAAGTGACCTCCTCATGTAGGGACCAGTTCTATTCTGCTCTGTGTCCAAAAAAGTAATAGGGGCTCCTGAGGACAATAGGTGTCAATCCATAGGTCAAGGTGTCAATATGTCATATGTCAGGTGTCAATCCATATTGATTGTGATTTAGGAATGTTAGTGATTTCTGCCCCTTATGGATTAAACCAGACCTGTATCAACTGTGTAATTTTCCATGGGAGTTTTGCCATGGATCCTCCGGCATACCACAGTCCAGGTGTTAGTCCCCTTGAAACAACTTTTCCATCCCTATTGTGGCCAGAAAGAGTCCCTGTGTGTTTTAAAATTAGCCTCCCCATTGAAGTCAATGGCGTTTCGGGCGGTTCGCCGGTTCGCGAACATTTGCGGAAGTTCGCGTTCGCCGTTCGCGAACCGAAAATTTCGGGTTCGCGACATCACTAGTCATTGATTATAACTAATGAAGGTAACAAAATGTTAAAGAAGAATTCAATTAAATGTTTGCAATGCAAAACTACTTAATGTTATCATTAATTTAATATGTCTGAAGCAGAGATAATGAGGATTATTTCAAGGAAAGAGGTTAAATGGGAATATAGCTGCTTATTGAGAGTGCATCTCTGTGGCCAAGGTGCTCCCTACAATTTCCTCATGTTATCGGGATCTAAGAACACTCATAGGCACTCAGGAGCCCTTCATACCTTGCCTCTAGATCCATATCAAGAGCAATTTTCTCCTACACCAAACATCTCCCACAGGGCCTAGACCTCATACACAGCTTTACAATATGTAGTAATCCCAAGCAAACTTCATGGGTCCTCACACACACACAAAATGTATATCTACACTTTCAGGTGCATCATTAGAGGCACCACAATTTTGTTTGAACCCAAACTCCCTAGCTCCAAACTATGGCTTAAATATAACTTTAGATATACAGAATAGCTTCTAAGATAGCACACACTTATGGTGGACACCCTGAGAGGATGAGGGGTTTCGCCGCCGGAGATACTCTTTCCCCCTATTCAGAGTGATGCTTTCCAAATCCCAGGGACAGGATAGCTTTGTAACTCTTATAAGAGCTGATGATTATAGCTGGTATAGCAGTTCCCTACAAACAGGAGATGAGACTCACATTGGCTCTCAAGTCCAGGACACTCCTATACAAAATAAGTTAATCCCTCCTCTGTGCCTGGGAGATAATTGAGTCAAGCACTGTACTAAACTCAGTTATCTACAGGTACAGAAAACATAATTTTTTACAACATATTAAAAATACCCCCAAAACACATGGAAACCCAAATATAGTTATATCCCCTGATAGCCTAGATCTACGGGACCAACATATCCTAAAATCACCCGGATCGGTTCAGGATTTCCATGGAAGTCTCAGTTTGACCGACCGCACCCGAGGCTCTTGCCCCAAAAGAGTTCCATGAAATCAGGCTGTGCGGTCTGTCTCTTTTGGGAGTGACAAATATAATAAATAATGAACGTAACGGTTCGGGAGGACAATCCCAACAAACGCCATTCAGTTCTCATGTATTTTACCAAACTTCTATGGAGGTAAAAGTTCTAGCAGTGCTTGCGCCGACTTGAGTTCCATGCACTCGACGATCAAACACTGCTGTAAGTGTTCGCGGCTAAAGATGGCCGCTGCCATGTGTTCAGCCATACGAACGGCGGCCACCCAGCCAACCGCTCAGAATATTGGTATAATTACAGTTACTGAGGTGTGAACAAAGGTGAAAAGGGTAAATGAGCAGCACACACCTGCCCTGGGTGGTCTGGCTGCTCTTCTCACTTACCATTCTTACCACTTTTCAGCTTTTACACTGTCTGCCCTATTCAGCTAAACTAATGACAGTGAATAAGTAACAATCACAGGTAATTCGATTTAGGAGTGTCATAACTCCTAATGTAAAACTGTCACAAATCAAAAAAACTATCATATTCTACTCATAATGAAAAGATGCTGTTATAGATGGGCCTGGGTTTGGATTGCAGAGAGATATATTGTTTTTGTTAAAATAGAAATGGTTTGAATTGGTGGATAGCACTATAGAGTCACTATACCATAAAATAAAATAGATATGGTGTTTACAGTGCCCCTTTAACTCATCTTCAGACATGCTAAAAAAATGTCTCTTGTTCTGTATATCAATGGTGTGCATTATACTTGAGTAAAAATTTGCTTCTTTCATTCGTCTGAATCAAAATCCTTTTAATCCACACCTGAACAAATTGATCTGAACTGTTATTATTAGAGTTGAGCGGACACCTGGATGTTCGGGTCCGGCAGGTTCGGCCGCACTTTGAAAAAAGTCCGGGTTCGGGCTCGAACTTGACCTTGAACTTGACCCCGAACCTGAACCCCATTGAAGTCAATGGGGACCCGAACTTTTGGCCACAAAAATGCTTCTAAAAAACTGCAAAAGGAAGTAAAATGGGGGTAAGAGTAGGACAAGTGCCCTGCAAACAAATGTGGATAGGGAAATCACTTAAAATAACATAAAAATAAAAAATACAGCTGAGCCATAAAATAGCACTAGATGGAATCTTTGATTTTAGCTTTGGAAGAACATAAATCAAAATCTAAAGCATGGCTGTCAGGAGGATCACCAGAATTATCAATTTGAGAGAGGGTTGGAGTGCAGGGTATTCTCTTTCATTGTTCAAACTGAGCTCAACTCCTGATGCATGGAGAAAAGGCCTTCACAAGCCTCTGCTATTGTGTACATAGGTGGAAGCAGCAGTGGAGGAGGAGGAGGAAGCCAACACTGTTTTTTTTAATAAATATATATATATATATATATATATATATATATATATATATATTTTTTTTTTTTTATTGGGGTAGCCCACAAAATATTGGGACATACAAAAAAAGAAACATTTGCGGCCTGCGGTGCATTTCTTGCAGTCCTGAGAAATGCTCACCTCCTGATGCATGGAGAAAAGGCCTTCACAAGCCTCTGCTAATGTGTATATAGTTTATACTAAGTGACCCATAGGTTGAGGAGGCGGTGACCGTGGTGGTGTAGGTGGAAGCGGCGGTGGAGGAGGAGGATGAGGTAGTGAACACTGTTTTTTATATATATATATATATTTTTTTTTTTAAATTGGGGTAGCCCCCAAAATATTGGGACATATAAAAAAAAGACAACTCTGTTCCGCAGAGTAGCTGTTGACATTATAGTTGTGCAGGCACTTTGTTGACTGTAGAGAACCTCGGGACAATAGCACATCCCTGTGACAGCGACTTTGCATTCGGATGTCATCCATATCAACTCTCGATGCCAGTTTCTGCGCCTACCATGGTGACCATGGGTAACGGGGAATAAGGGTTCCATTCCGTATAGGGACCCTGAGAAACGGCTACCACATGCAAGGAAGGCAGCAGACGTGCAAATAACCCACTCCCAACGTGGGAATGTCTTGATGACAAATAACAATACAGGACTCTTTAGAGGCCCTGTAATTGTAATGAGTCCACTTGAAATCCTTTAACTCTGATCAATTGGAGGAAAGTCTAGTGCAGAGCCACTGATCCGTGCGTGCTGCAGCTGAAACTCCACTATCGCCTGCTGCTGCTCGCATAGTCTCATGAGGCGGTGAGAGGGAAGGCCGAAGTTACGCTGCAGTGCAGACAGGCGAGCAGCAGCAGGGTGAGAACGCCAAAAGCGCGCACAGCTGATACAGTGAATGTTGCATCCTGTTCCAAGTTGCAGATCAGTCTGGTGATGGCTTCTGGTATCCAGTACTCTTTTTACTGAAGCTGCATCAGGGTCCTGGTATGTGCCCGCACAAACTCTGGTGCTCAACACCAGGGGGCATGCGGCTACCCTGCACCAGACCCTGCTAATCCATTCCACACTGTGACTCCTAACTTCAACATCATACTGGGTCCCGGTCATCTGACCGCCGCCCAGACAGTGTCTGGGTGCTGGTCACCGGACTGCCCAACTGTGAAACTACAAATGGTTTGTTAAATCCGGTACGAACCTGAACATTGCAGTTCGGGTTCGCTCAACTCTATTATGGATCCTTTGATCGCAACATGTATTACTTGGATAACTGGTAATTCTCAAGCTAATACATGCCGACGAGCGCTAGGGGACGACCGCTCCGCTTTTGTACCCTGCTCCCTCTTATGCTGTGCTGGTGCCTCTGTGCGACCAGCGCCTCTTCCTCCAAACTGCACGTCACTCGCATGACCTTGATTCCATGTGGGGTCTAAAGGCAGAGAAAAATTCATAGGGCAACACTATATGATGAAAAGTGGCCCCTTGGTAATAATAATACACTCACAAAATGTACGGATATTTTGAGCCCATCAAGGTTTCTTTAAATATTCAGCTACTGACGTCCTCAATATCCCAGGATACATGCCAAAAAGAAAAAACTGGACATAGTACAGTAATGTTTAAAACATAAAAATGACACTTTAATTTAACACACTTACAAGAAGTCAAAGATAAAAATGCCCATCAATAAGTCTCTGTGTGCCTCTGTTTCAGCTGGATAGGAGGCAGGAATAATAAGCAGCAATACAAAGCTCAACGTGTTTCGTCTCTTAATATAGACTTCTTCAGGAGCAAGTAAATTAAAATACAATTGTAGCAGCAATAAATATACATTACAAAGTATCAAATGTCCAAAATTCCTTTTAACCCCTTAAGACCGGAGGGCGTACAATTACGTCCTATTTTAAGCGGTTCTAAATGCCGCCGGGCGTAATTGTACGCCCTCCGGTTTTTGTTTACTTACCCCCAGGGAGCCCCCCGCGGCAGATCCTCCTCCTCCGGTGCCCCCCGGCCATGTGAGAGTGAGGTCCTTGGAGGTTCCCTGGCGAATAGTTCCTGGCGAACATAGCGTGTTCGCGTTCGCCACGGATGGCGAACATATGCGATGTTCGGTCCGCCCCCTAGTAATTTACTAATACTAAGTAAAAATTACTTAGTATTTGTAAATTGTGCCCCTACTCGCAATACCGCGAGTAGGGGCATGTCTATTAAACAGTGAGCAGCCTGTCCCCCCCGGCCCCCACCCCTGAGCGGTGAGTGGGGGACCTAAAATTAACAATAAGGGGGGGACCTATTGTCCCCCCCGGCCCCCACCCCTGCGCGGCAGGTGGGGGTCATATTGATAATGGGGGGGACCTACTATCCACCCCCCCTCCGGCCCCCACCCCTGGGCGGCGGGTGGGGGCCATAAAGATAATGAGGGGGGGGACCTACTGTCCTCCCCCCCGGCCCCCACCCCTGGGCTGCGGGTGGGGGCCCTAAGTAAATTCTCCCCCCCCCCCCAAGGTGACTAGGGGTCAGTGTTTGTGACCAAATGGCTACTAAAAAAGACTGGACATACCCCATTTGCAATACCTTGGGTTGTCTACTATTGCAAATGGTATGCCATTATGGGTGTAAATTTAATTCCTGGGCTACTATAAAGTCCCAAAGTCAACGTAAACAATCTGGCGAATTTCAATTTCAAATGCAACGTGCTATATTTGACCCTGTAACTTCCCAAAATGCCATAAAACCTGTACATAGGGGGTACTGTTTTACACGTGAAACTTTGCTGATTACAAATATGTGTATTTTATTGCAGTAAAAGCAAGCAGTATTATGACATTGACAGTTAAAATGTCATGTAGAACTAAAATAATAAAAAAAATCTTATTTTCTCCAATTTATTTCATATTAAATTATGTTTCATAGCTAAATATTTGATATTAAATGAAAGCCCTGTTTCCCCTGAATAAAATGATATATAATAAGGGTGGGTGCATTTAATATGAAAGAGGTGAATTACGGTTGGACAGACATGTAGCGCAAATGCCAAGTTTTGTTTACATTTTGTTTCGTTCACAACGTGTACATTTGGTTCCGTCCTTAAGGGGTTAAAGATCCTTGTTTCCGTTCGTTCCACCAATCAATGACACTGAGGTTACCTGTCCGCGGTTTCTTCATTGACTTGTGGCCATATATGAACTTCCGTTTTTCTTCGTGGAACGCATATGCGTTCCACCCATCGGCGGTTCAGGAAGACGTCATCGGTCTGCGCATGGAACGCATATGCGTTCTATTTCACCACTTCCGTTGAACGGAAAAATCTCAGGGCAAAAAGCTGGATATAAAAAAACTAAATGTATACAGCAAGGTTACACACAATTACCAACCAATAATAATATATTGGGTAAAGTAAAGCAGTCCATGTATATAGGAAATTACATATGATATACATATAAAAAAATAAAAGTCTCATTGTGGAGCACCTCTCACAGAGAGAAGTGATTAAGGAAATCACAAGCTTATAGATGACAATTCTCAAAAGAAAAAAATGGAAATAAATATAAATGTGGAAAAATAATAATACTAGGAAATATGAATAAATAAAATAAGAAATGGAATTAATATAAAAATAAGAAGTGAAATGAATATAAAAATAAGAATAAAAATGAGAATAAATATAAAAATAAAAATGAAAATAAAAAATAAAATGAAAATGAAAATAAAGTAAAATGAAATAAATAAAATAAAATAAATATAAATATAAAAATAAATAAAAAGAAGAATAAAAAATAATAATAATGAAATAAAATAAATAGAATGAAATAAAATAAAATGAAAATAATAATAATGAAGAATAATAATTAAAGAAAACAAATCAAATCAAAATCCACATTCAACCCAAATGGTTGAAGTGTTTTGAGCTTATGAATCCAAAATCCTTCCCTCTGTCTGAGTTTTTTGAGCTTATGATACTTTGTAATGTTTATTTATTGCTGCTACAATTGTATTTTAATTTACTTGCTCCTGCGGAAGTCTATATTAAGAGACGAAACGCGTTGAGCTTTGTATTGCTGCTTATTATTCCTGTCTCCTATCCAGCTGAAACAGAGGCACACAGAGACTTATTGATGGGCATTTTTATCTTTGACTTCTTGTAAGTGTGTTAAATTAAAGTGTCATTTTTATGTTTTAAACATTACTGTACTATGTCCAGTTTTTTCTTTTTGGCATGTATCCAGGGATATTGAGGACGTCAGTAGCTGAATATTTAAAGAAACCTTGATGGGCTCAAAATATCCGTACATTTTGTGAGTGTATTATTATTCCAAGGGGCCACTTTTCATCATATAGTGTTGCCCTATGAATTTTTCTCTGCCTTTATTTTTTAGGTGTATCTTATATTTTATACTGGGGAAGAAGGAGACAGCATGATAAGACAAAATATTAGATGTGCAGCTTTTGTAAGCTGTTTTTAGATATACCCAGAATGAAACACAGCATAATTAAATGCATGCACATTTTCACTGGGGGTATATCTACTAAACAGTTATATTTGCTTTTATTTGGGTAGTACTGTGTCATTTTAACCCAGCATTCTCTTGCTATAATCCTCCTTAAAGCGACACTGTCATGCCGAACTTACCTTTGCTCAATCTCTTCCTCTTCTCCCCCTCTCTCAGGATCTGTTCTTCTTTAGTTTTCTTTAACCCCTTAAGGACCAAACTTCTGGAATAAAAGGGAATCATGACATGTCACACATGTCATGTGTCCTTAAGGGGTTAAAATCATAAGACAAAGTAGGGACTCTTTGCCTTATGGAGGTTTCCTCCGCTTGACCAGCTTTTACCAACGGAGGAGCTTCATTTCTGCTAGTCAGAGCAATTTTCCCATAATTCTTACCTTTCCTCCGTGTCCCCACGATGCCTCCTGTCAGTATTGCCGAACGTCCTGTCACTTAGACAGAACGCCGGCAAAACTGCCGAATTGCATCCTAAAAGAATGAGAACGGCTTCTCCATTTGTGTTAGGATGCAATTCGGGACTTTGTTCGGATCGCAATTTCATTCGAATTAATGAAACTCTGATCCTATTCGTGCTGTGGCTGCATCTTGCAGCCGCTTAGTAGATAACTCCCTAAATGGTATCAGGGAGCTATCTACTAAAAGACTAAAAGACCTAAATTGGTATTAGTAAATTCAGCCCCTACTTGCTATACCGCGAGTAGGGGCATGTCTGTGCCTGTGGCTGCTCACTGTTAAAAAAAAAACCCAACAACCTATTAACCGCCCTGTGACGAGACCAATCTCGCCACATTGCATTGGAGAAGCCTGGTTGCTCGCCTGCTGCCTCTGGACTATGGCCCCCTTTTAAAAGACTTTATTTCGACTGCAGAAAAGCTGTATTCGATTCAATCTACCGAACAACCGCACGAATGAATAGACCACCTGGGAGCTGGAGTGTGCCGGCAATTAACCTCCCTGAAGCTGCGGTTAACCGCAGCTTAATTGACGAATGCAGGGTGGCCGCCATTCGTATCCCGAACACGAGGTCGCGGCCATTTTAAACATGCGAATGAACAGCGGTGTTCGCCCCTATTTTCATGGAACTAAAATCGGACACAGTTTTGCGCGAACAACGCTGAAGCCGCCGACCTCCCTTCTTGTTCAGTGGAAGTGCACGAACGGCCGGTGTTCGGTAGTTTTGTTTGAATGTGTTATACCCCAGATAGGAATCCCATTGAGCCCATTCGTATGAAACTGAC